CTGACCTCCGAAAGTATTTGAACCCAAAAATCTCCAAATTGGAAAAAATGGACATTAGCGGTTTTCGCACGAGCCGATTCAATTAAAAAAGAAAATTTTTGACACAAACCGCAAGTCAAACTCTTGATTTTTGACAAACTGGCCGCCGGTCAAATTTCAAAATATCGGAAATCTAAATCCCCGTTTTCGTCGATGGATTGGGATGAAACTTGGTTCTCACAGGTTTTTTTAGACGAGAAAAACGATTCTGGCATTATTTTTTCGGAAAATTTTTGTCTTTTTCAAAATGGCGGCAGTAATTATGGCGACCTTGAGCGGCAAGAGAATAAATTAGGCTGCTTATCGGTGAATTTGCATGAAACTTGGTATCAGGGGACACTTCGGCATGAAAAAGACGAATCTGTCATCAGATTTTTTGAAATTCTGAATAACTTCAAAATGGCGAGGCAAATGGTGGAAACTTGGTATTACGGACGTCTACGGGTGAATTCGCATGCTGCCATTTTGAAAGTATTTGACATTTCAGAAATGCATTGCGGAAGAGGCATGTTTTGTCGAACCAAAAAGTAATAGAACCCAGAGTTTCATTCGCATCCAACCGTAAACGTCCGTAATACCAAGTTTCTGCATTTTCCAGTTGCAAAAGGATTGATAAGCATAAAACTGCATGTATCCCGTTTAATCTAAGTTCATCCTAATTCAGTAACATTCATCCTTGCGGGACAAAGAATTTGATTTTAAATTAATTGAATTTTAAATAAATTAAATGTGTCGAGTTTTATGAATTGAGATCAAGTTAAAAAAAAAAAAATCTAATCACACATTGGTAGGTTATAGGTTATGTTACATTTTTTTTGTCAACCGGATCAAGACCCCTTCACGCTCTTAACCTCTCACCATAAATTTTGCTGAGCACTTATCAAGTGGATTGCCGATCTCTTCAATTAAAAAAAAAAGAAAAAAAAGTGTTTACCAAACAGGAACAGATTACGGTAACGCCAATTCAGTACACCTTAAATTTCAAGGTAGGCAACACGAGTTTCTACGTGGTTGAATGGCGGTATTGTCGTCGTGAAATGACAGTTTGCCTTCAATGATTAGTGTAGGCAACACAAGCTCTCACGTGGTCGAAGAGTGGTATCATCGTCCGTGCAATAGACGTCCTCTGTCTGCTAATTTGTTTTTATGTCATGTCGGGACCGCGTTTGTCAGTCAAGTAGTTGCTTCTCTTAACTGTTATTCACTAAGCTGTTTTTATTTTTTTCTACTTCCCGTCCGAGCACATGAACACTAAAAGAGAGAGATGAGGATTATGATTATGGTGCTGATGCTGATGATGACCATGAAGAAAAAGGAAAACAACGAATGGTGCAGAACAAGAAGAGTGAAAGAAAATAAGCTAGAATAAATTTAGAGAGAAGAAGAAGATAATGAAAGTGGGAGAAGCAAACAGACAGAAGAAATGAAAAGTAAAAAGAAGAAAGCAGTGAGAGGGAGATTGAAATAAAATAAGAACGTGGAAATAGTGGAATAGCTCTTTCATCGTAAAATTGCACGATTACTTTTAAAAAATAGCATTTCACCAAACTGGAGAAGATAAATTAACGTCATTTCATTTCGCCCTCAATCTCAGTGTAGGCAACAGGAGCTTTCGCGTGGTCGAATAGCGGTATCGTCGTGAAATGGCACGCTCACTCAGGCAAAATAAGCTCCCATGTGGTCGAATAGTGGCATCATCCCCGAAACAATATCGGCCTAATGCTCCCCGTAACTAAATTTTTGGTGAAGCATCTAGACCTGTGACTTCAGTCACGGGTTTTCCGCTAGTTAGATTATATCTGGGAATAGAGTTGAGAGATATGACAGGATTTTAGCTTTGAGCCAATGCGCTTATATTGATACAGGTTTGAAGAAGTTAAATATGGCTGATTGTAGTGCCATTGACACCCCACTTCCAAGTAAATTAGATTTTGTGGTACTTAATTCAGTTGAAGCAAATGACGCACCCTCTCAGAACCTTGTTGGGTGCTTGATGCACATAATGATATGCACAAGACTTGATTTGTGCGCTACAATAAGTATTTTATGCAGATATACAAGCAAGAACAATAAGATCTTGTGGCAATGTTTGAAAAGTGTGTTTCCATACCTAAAAGGCTCAAGAACTCTTAAATTTACCTACACAAAGAAAGTTATATTTTCTGATATCTTGAGTGGTCACGATGATTCTCATTGGGCAACAGATGAAAATGATAGAAAGAGCACGACAGGCTTTCTATTTCAATTATTTGAAAACTACCATTCGTTGGAATACAAAAAAGCAAAACTTTGTGGCTGCCTCATCCACTGAAGCAGAGTATATGGCGCTTTTTGAAGCTGTTAGGGAAGTTCCCGAGTTGAAATCGTCTCTGAGTAGTATTATTATGACAGCAATAACTCCGTTTTTAATTTATGAAGACAACTTCGGTTGCATAAGTATTGCAAAGAATCCAAGTAGAAACAAAAGATCATAACACATTGATATTTAGTATAATTTTTCTAGAGAAGAGGTAGAAAAAGGGCTAATAGATGTGAAATATGTTCCAACGGGTGATCAGCTGGCCGACTTGCTGACCAAATCATTGTCCACTTATAAATTCAAGAAATTAAGACCAGGGCTTGGTCTTCAATAAAATTTCAAGAAATTAGCAAGTTAAAATTCAAGTGGAATCTGATTCAAAATTCTAAATCTGTAAAAGAGGTTCAAGTCAAACTTCAAGTTGACTTGTCAAAATGCAAGTGGACTTTGATTCAAAATTCTTAATTTGTCAAAATTTCAAGTCAAAATTTGTCATAATTCAAGTCAAAATTCTATATTTGTTTGCATTTCTTTCGGTCTGATGAGTTTTTTCTAGCTTTCCCTCATCTGTAGCAACAAATGTTGGACCTGCATGTTTTCCCAGTGAGCATCTATGTATAATGAAATTAATTTTTGAGGAGACGAATTGAAATATTATAATGTCGTAACAACAACAAAAGAACAAAAATTAATATGTTTCATATCAGCTGAGTTTTTTATAACCTCCAGTGCATCAATTAAAAAGTTGATACACCAAAAGTGCTGTAGTTATTTCTTTAAGTCCTTCATAATATCCTTTCATCCCTTCAACCCTACGGGTAGTCCTTATTACAGCTTGTTGGTTGTCTTTACCTAGGTTTACTGGCTCAAAAAATCGTACTACGAGGCTAAAATAACTGCTCCAGGAACATAAAGGACATTTCTGTCCAAGATGGCGGCCAAAATAGCGGAATGATAAGACAAAACAATTTGAAGTACGCGCGGTATAGCAAGTCAAGTATTGCTTTGTAGGATGACGCCATCTTGGGCCTAGATGTCCTTCATGCTCGAGGAGCAGTTATTTTAGCTTCGTATTACGATTTTTTGACCCAGTAAACCAAGAAGAAGACACCCAACAAGCCATCATGAGGACTTTCTGCCCCTCTCTCCCGAAATGTAGAGGCAAATCTAGGTGCCATCTTCGATTTTGGGCTCCGCAAGAGGTCAGAGATAATTTTAAACAACATATTTGAATTTTACGGCTAAAAGCACATGGGAATCGATACCTATCAGGGCGTAACTTGATTATTTCAAACTTATGACCTCAGGGTCGGTCATTTTTGCCGTCCTTTTGGGGCCTGGACATGGACCAAGAGAATTAATAAGGACCCCCAACTCCGGTTAGCGCTGACATCAGTGCTCCCTGGCAGAGGGTGTAGTGAACTAAACCGACGATTGGGTCCTCCTGTTTATATTTCCATGCACCACTTATTTAGGCTTATCACTCAGTAGTGCTCATAGAAGTTTCTAGATCCTCGTGTCCTCGTGGTCGCCCTGCAGTTTTGAAGAGTTTAGTGTGAAAAGTTTCCCATTTTCATTTCAATCTTCGTCAGTCTTCGGGTACATAAACTGGTAATAATGTGAAGTGTTTTTTCTAACCGTTTTACTCAGCAGCAACTGCTGTTGAGAAAGCCAAAGGAAGTGTGTTTGTAATGTGCAGCAGGAATCAGGATTGTACTTTTAGCCGAAGGCGCTTCTCTGTTAAGTGAAATCGTTTTAGTGAGAAATAGTGTTGTACTGATAAAAATCAACTGAGTGTCACAAAATCAAAGATACTTGACTTCAAGCATTACCTTTAATTTGATTATTAGCAAGTCTCTTTGATTCTGCGTCAGAAGTTGACTGAATCATCTTTGCTCGTGTTTTGATAAGATACTTCAAATCAAAGTCTTTCGCATTGACCTCTGCAGAGGGTATGTATCTATACTATTTCATTAGTTTGCGGAAGTAAAGTGTATTAAAATATCTAAACAAATAAATAAATCATAGATAAACAAAGAACATTGCATGGAATAACATACTCTAGAGGTACGATCTTGGACCATTGTGGCGTTAGTTCACCGCACCCTCTGCCAGGTTCGCTGCAAGCGCGCGGTAACGGTTTTTAACACAGGTTTCAATAGGGAGTTGGGAGTCCTTATTTATTCTCTTGGTCCATGCCTGGAGCCCCCCTTCCCCTCCCTGCTCCCTAATATCGTAAATTTAACTTCATTTTCGGATTTTGCGACCCATAAAAACTCATGAGTAGCCACCTTACTTGTCACTTTAAAGAGCACATGTCCTAACCATAAAATAGTCAGAAGTGGTTGAGGTAGATGGTTAAAATGAAAAATGCTGCTCTGCAAACTTATAAATAACCAACAGGCTCATTGTGGAAGAAACCTAAATCTGCGTTGCATTCAAAAGTACCAGGTTTTCACAGTTTTGAGCAGACATCATTGCTTCAGTCGTATCTTATGTCGAAAGTAATCAAGTTATGTACAATGTTTGCCATGAAATGAGGTGGCATTTCTTTTTTTTATCATCCAGCTACTCGTATTGTTGATGGTTAATTAACTTAAGTGGAGGTGACTTTCTAATTACAATTCATTTAGGTAAAAATAACTCTTCTTTTTTTCCTCAGCTGATATATCCTGTGAAATTGGACGCAACAGTAGCATCAGAAATTTGCTCTGTTTTGGACAGACAAAAAATTGATCTTGTGCAAGCAGTCAGCTCATGTGGAAGCAAGAAGTATGGAAATCCTTTCTTCTTTTTTCTACCTCTAATTTTCAACAGGAGAAAATGTGCAGTTACTTAGTTAAGCTCCAACATTTTTTAAGTCGAAAATCAAATTTGAATTACTGTTGGCTTGGTAAGGCACTCAGCATCCATCACGCCAGGCACTTTGCCATCTTTGATAACTTGTATCTAAAGGGTGTTCCAGACCACTAGGGTGTGGCTTATTTGGAAAAAGTCTAAAATGTTATGATGACACATCTTGATCCAAAATGGACACTCGAGAAATACAGAATTGGCACGGTGAGGAGCACCCTTGACACCTTACTTCTCTGTGAATATGAAAAAATCATTTTTCATAAATCAAAAGGCTTCTCAAATCCTCATTATCGTAGCGATGATCCTCTTTACCCTGCGTATAATTCTAGACAAGCCCATAGACATAGCACAATACCTATTATTCTACAGGGAATTGGATTGTTGTATTTCAAGAAGTGTCCGTAGAAAAATAAAATGAAAGGGTGGCGGTGACATCCTAATCATACACTGAAAAAAAAGTCACTTTAGTAAGATCCTGGATATTACCATAGCAACTTTTTTTCTCGGTGTACCATTTCGACCATTGAGTAGGGGGAAAAAGCATTCAACTTCAGTGCCTGTTGATTTTTTTATTTAGGAGCAACGTTAATTTGAAAATGTTGTCTTATATTTTGTAATTTTTTTTTCTAGCAAGCACCCATGAACAATGAACAAGTGCAAAAGTCAGATTTCGTCTAAAATTCAACAAATATATTTAAATTCAAAATTCACATAAATCAAAAAATGCAATAACAAAATTTCTTTTTAACCGGATGTATTAACAGCATGAACACACTGAGCAATCAAAATCGGCGACGAACAATTGTATTGAAAGAAAAATTATCAATGGCTACGAGAAGAGGTAAATAATCTTGCAGGCAATGATCACATTCTTTATATTCACACAATCACAAATTTGATCCAACTCTCAGGGGAGCAAATATGGGCAGCAGATTTTTGTCCTTAAATCAAGTGTAGGGTTAGCACTAACTACTACAATAGGTCTGCAAGCGTGCGAAATGGTGCTTCTTATTTATACTGAGCCATATTTGTGATATTCCCTGTGGAATAATGGGTATTGTGCTATGTCTATGGGCTTGTCTAGAATTATAGGCAGGGTTAAAAACGATCATCGCTACGATAATGAGGATTTGAGAAGCCTTTTGATTCATGAGTAATGATTTTTTCATATTCACACAGAAGTGAGGTGTCAAGTGTTCTCCTCAGCGTATCAATTCTGTATTTCTCGAGTACCGATTTTGGATCTTCAGATTTTGAAACCAGATCGTGTTAATTGACATACTTCGTGAAGCTATTCAACGTTGCAACCCCCCCCCTCCCAAAAAAGAGTAATCATTAGAAAATTAATATTATTAAAATCATTGATCGTTCTTCATGATTAATCATGAAAATTAAAAGTATTACATTTCAAGCCCTGAGCCAAATAGTTAAATTATTAATCCAATATCAAGTGTGAATTTTCCATTGTCTGCAAATTTACCATACTTACCGATAGGGTAAAATTGACTTTAAATTCATGATCAGCGACTGAAAAAACACCTGTAAACTTACGTTGCACGCCAACAACGGTAATACTCTAATTAATGCCGCCTGGAACCGATGTGCGCCGTGACTCCAAACTCCGGCTAAGAGCGCGAGTCAGACGGCTTTTGCGAGTTCCTACCCAGGTCATTTTTGTGACCCGAGGGATCATAGAGTGTGGAAATTTGTCAAATTGGAGTTTAATATATCATGATGGATGAAAAAATGCTAAATTTTTCTCTTTTTTATCAGTCGTGTGGCAAAACCATATAGACTCTAGGTTTCGCCGGAGGCTAAAAAATGTCCACACTTTCAGGCTAAGTCCACGAGGAGAATTTTAGAGGAACCAAGTGACATATATGAAGTATTGATATCGGTGCATTTTGGCCCAATTTTTCCCAAATGGAATTTCTGATCATTTAGCCATGGTTTGGTAGCGTTTAGCAATCAACTGTGACCAAAATGTAAAGAACCCACACTGGTGCCTTTCGGCTCAATGTCGCCATATGGCATTCTTTATCATCAAGTCACTGTTGAACATTTACTTACTGTTAAGTGGCGTTTAGCAACCAACTGTAGCCAAAATTTCCAGAACCCATACTTCAGATGTTCGAAGAGTGTTAACACGTGTCGCCAAATGGAACTTCTGATCATTTAGCCATGGTTTGGTAGCGTTTAGCAATCAACTGTGACCAAAATGTAAAGAACCCACACTGGTGCCTTTCGGCTCAATGTCGCCATATGGCATTCTTTATCATAGAGTCACGGTTTAATAGCGTAAATAGGTAAGCAACCAACTGTGGCCAAAATTTCAAGAATCGAAACTAGTGGTTTTCGGCTCAATACCACCCAATGGGATCTTCGATGATTTAGTAATGGTTGATGTTTATGTTGATTCATTATTACCGTCTGAAAGTGAATCCCCTGGGTGAATTTTATAGGGTTGGTTCAAACAACTTTTAGAATTTTATTCCTTAGCGCTTATAGACCCTAAGCGACAACTTCAATTCATGGAACTAAAAGTTTTCAATTTTTATAACCATTTTTTAACTGTCAGAACTCACTAGACCACATTATCTTCATGATTAATTTAAAGAATATCGCTGTCAAAAGTTGGGTTCTCCTTCGATTTAGCACTTTTTGTCGTTACCCTAAAGACCATACAGGAAGTGTTAAATCTAAGGAAAATTCAACTTTTCACAGCAATGTTCTTTAAATTAATCATGAATATAATGTGGTCTAGTGAATTCTGACAGTTTAAAATGGGTATAAACATTCAAGGCTTATTTTCCTTGAACTTACGTAGTTTTTCAGGGTCTATGGTAAGAAAAAAAATGCTAAAACACGTTAGAAGTTATTTGAACCAAACCTATAATGTTGAACTATGACTTCAACTTTCAAGAACCCTTACTTGTGCCTTTCAGCTCAATTTCGCCAAATGGGATTATTTATCATTGAAGTCGTGGTTGAGTTGACTATGCTGATAAAATACCATTGGAAAATTTAGGTTTCACCATCATAGTCTTCTAAAAATAACCATCAGCATTACTGCACCAACCAAAATCTAGCCCAAAAAAAATAATTTGGCTGAAAAAGTGGGAGAAGTTGGGATGTGCAGTCTCAAAACAAAAATACCTAGCTGTGATTGGACATAGCTTTGCTTTCATTGAGACTTTCAAATTTTATATGAATAAAAAACTGTAAGCATAAAATAAGACCCTGCATTTAGGCCATAGTTAAACAGGTAGTCAATACCTGGGTCACTGTAACCACTATGCTGAGTCCTATTTCATGCTTGCTTTTTTTCATTCGAAAAATTTTAAGCCTCAATGAAAGCAACATGGAAATAACTAAATTGCTGATTTAACAATTAAATTGCTAAAAAAGTGACTGCAATATTTCAATGTAGATTTCACAACACAAAAATGCTACTTTAACCATTATTGTGAGCTAATTTATCCAAGGAGGTGGTTAAAGTAGCACTTTTGTGTTTTGAAATCTACATTGAAATATTGCGGTCCCCTTTTCTTTAGCAATTTAATTTTTTCCGTAAAGGTTATATCCAATTTCACCTTGGTGTTTTTGTTTTGAGACTGTCCATCCCAATATTTCCTATTTTTTCAGCCAAATTATGTTCTTCTGAATTTCTGCAAATTTAGGCTTTAAGTCTATCTCCTTGGATAATCCTTGGTAATAAGCACTGGCAAGACTTCAAACCAAGCAAGGGGACTGGAGTTTCAATCCTCAGGGGAAATAAAACTATTGAACCATGACTTACTTTCAAGTACCTACCCATGTACCTTTCAGCTCAATTTTGCCAAATGGAATTCTTCATTGCTGAAATCATGGTTGAGTTAGCTATGCTGATTACTTGCCATCTTTGGAAAATTTAGGTTTTAGCATAATGTACAGAAACAGTCAGTTTTGTCCTCACCCATAGACCATACAAAAAGAGCTAAATCGAAGGAGAACTTAGCTTTTGACGGCGATGCTCTTTAAATTTTTCATACATACAATGTGTTCTAGTGAGTTTGGATGGTAAAAAATGGTTAAGAACATTTAAAGCTTTATTTTCCTTGAATTTAAGTTGTCATTTAGGATAGATCCTGACTACTAGATCCTTACTCGAGTAAGGAAAGAAAGTCTAAAATTGTTAAAGTTATTTGAACCAACCCCATAACATTGAACTATGACTATAATTTTCAAGAACCCGCGTACTGCTGCCTTTCGTCTCAATTTCGCCAAATGGAATTCTTTATCATTGAAGTCATGGTTGAGTTGACTATGTTGATTAATTACCACGTTTGGAAAATTTAGGTTTCAGCATCATGATGTTATATAGTCTTAGGAAATAACCAAAGGCAATACCGCACCAGTCAAAATCCAGCCAAAATAAAAGAAGTCGGGTACTAGGTTTTACTTTTTTTTTTTTTTTTTTTTTTTTTTTTTT